AGCTTTTTGGGGGTTTCCTTCCTTTGCTTTGAAGCAAATTTCCTGCAGATGATTGATCACAGATTGTCCAGACTTCACATTAATGTGTTTCCCCCCACACACTTACAGAGTACTCAAAACATAGCAAACTCCCTCTTTTTCAGTCGTTTTCTTAACCCTTGCACAACATTGGTACTTTGCTGTTGCATACACATACAGACAGAGTTTCCTCTTAAAATCCCAAACCCAGTGTTATGTTTTGTCATATGTTTTTAATGGTTCATGTTAAAGCTGTAAGTGTATTGATACCTTGGCAGGTATCAAAGTGGATATTGATGTGATAATATGGACTGTGAAACTGATTAAACTAGACTTAGAGCTACTTTAGATAAAACCACAAGGGCTATAAAAACTTACACCTGTAAAACCCTAAAAGATGCTTTGTGTTTGCAGAAATTTGTGCCCCCACCCCCCCAAAACAAAACAAACAAACAAAAAAACATAGTTGCACATCCAAACATGCTGTGGTGGGGATTCAAGAAAATAGTTTGAGATGATTTAAGCTTTGGGATGAAGTATATTATCCTGCTGGAAGGAGCCATTAGAACACGGGCTCACCGTGGTGCATAAATGGAGGGGCATGGTCATCAACAATATTCAGGTAGCATTTAGATGATGTTCAGCTGGTACTAAGGTGCCCTAAGTGTGCCAAAAAAATATCCCCCACACATTAAACCAATACTGCCTTGATACAAGGCAGAATGGATCCATGCTTTCCTGTAGTTTACAACAAATTCTGACCCCATGATCTGAGTGTCACAGTCAAAATTGAGACTCAGACCAGTTGACATTTTTCCAGTCTTCTATTGTCCAATTTTGGTCGTCATGAGAATCGTACCCTCAGTTTCCCGTTCTTAACTGACCGTTGTTGCAGCTTTTGGGGTCTTCCCAATTAGTTTCGTCACACTTAAGACCACTTCATTTCAAAATCGTTTAAATTGTGAGTCTATTTTTATTATAATTTTTTTTTTTAATATAAAAAATGTCGAGCTCAACTAAACTTGCCTCCTAGCAGCCTCCTCAATGGTTTCTCCAGGCTGAACTTTGCCCCCAAACCCGTTCCACTTTCCAGCACCAAAGCCCCTCTTCTTCATGCCCAGTAGCACTCTGCCCGGCTGGACAACGAGCACAAGGGTCAGCAGCTTGGAGCTCAACATCTCACCTGAGTGTGGAGGTAAAGAAATCTGATGTTACACTAACGCAATGCATCTCCACTGTGCTGCACAGTAAGCGTAATCAGCTGCACACTCCGCTGTATGCTACCATGGTTACCTGCTAAGTAAAACGGTGCTAGCGTATTGAAAAAAGGAAATTTTCCTCAGCGGTGGCCGAAGAAAAAAGAAGAAAAAACTGTTTATAAAAACAGTATACTTTGAGTTCAACAACTCCCGCGTGCAGCTGCAGATCGGTTGTCACGTGATGTGCTGATACGTAAGAGCGTGGATGAGTACGATTGACGTAAACTCAGCTCACCGGGTCCATCGCTTTCTTGCTAGATCGGTTAACCGTGGTTACCATGAAATGTGTTCGACTAGAAACTGCAGCTGGTTAATGCTGCAGTTACAGCACGTGTTATCTCAAGATAACCCAACAACAAATGGAGGTTATCAGTAACATCAGAGCTAATGTTATTATCATGCTATTTATGTTGAAGAATTCTACTGAAAATATAATTTTTATTGATTGATTATTTTTATTTTGTTAATATAACAAAAACTACTTCTAAAAGCTTTGTTATGTCTCTGATGGTTCTCAGTCATCCAGGCCATAAAAGCTTCTTTACTTGCTTTCATTACTATGTAGACTATTAGTAATAATAAGAAAAGCAATAATACTTAAATGCACTTTAGTCATGCCTTAGAAAAAAAGATTCCATCTGAAATCTGTAAAATTTAAGGTCGAGTTTACCATTCAAAAACTGAAGAACATTTTCCAATCTAAAATTGCAACAAATCATCTTTGTGGCCCATATTATTATTACAAGTTTATAGAGAAACCCAACCGGATAAACAACTGAATAAACAAAGGAAAATGGAGAGATTGGCTGGACTATAGAGAATCTGGAGAACTATCTGCATGTAAAGATCATTACTAACAGATGTGATCTCCCCTCCCCCTCAAATGAATCTACATTTAACAGCATGCAACATTCCATAATGTGAAATAACTGCAGGGGAAATGAAGAAATGCCACTTCGTCTCCTGTACTTGGATGGCATGGTACTTGCCTCAGCTGGTAGCTCCATATGTTTTGATTTGGTAAAGTTTTACATCAGATGCTCTTCCTGACAGAACCCCCAAAGAGAGTTCTAATCGAATTGGTGACCTTGGTGAGCCAATGTGTTATTCGCCAATCAAACTCTCCAAAGCGTTTTGGAAAGCATTTGTGCTTTACATATGCTGCAATCTATTCCATTAGGGAAGGCCTCGTCTGTCTTTGACAGTGTCACACCTTCTGCACATATTACAGCACTGTAATAAGAGTCTGGATGCTGAACTGGCTTAATATAGCCTGCCTGTCTTCTCACACATTAAAAGATTTTGTACACAGTAAAAAATAAATAAAGAAATGTGACCTAGGATTTCTCAGTATTGTATAAACTTAAAACAAATGGAAAAATAAATTAGGCACATTAGCTTCAATCTGTCCCAGGTAGGAACACTTGTTGTGTACATGTTTTGCAGTAAGGGGACGTATATACGCACGCACCTAACGATTTTGCCCTTAACCAATGAGAAGGGGGGGGGGCTCGTGTATTTTGACGCAAGCGCAGTTCAGCGTGCGGTACACGTGACTGCGCACTGTAATAACAATGTGGATGTTTTCCTTGCAGAGGAGATATCTGCACTCCTCGTTGTGTTTGATGAAGAAACTGAAGGGTAAGACGCCAGCGGAGCAGCGCTGGCTCCGACGGCAGCTTAAAGACCCGTATGTCAAAGCTTCCCAGATCCAAAACTTTCGATGCAGGAGCGCTTTCAAGCTTCTAGAGATAGATGACAAGTTCAGGCTCTTACAGCCTGGATACACTGTGGTGGACTGCGGAGCTGCTCCTGGAGCCTGGAGCCAGGTGGCAGTCCAAAGGGTCAATTCAGCTGTGACAGGTGAGAGGACAGGTGTCTAATCACACAGGTTTGTGGGAGGGGCGCCATGATATGATTGTTACGACGTTTAACCTAGAGTTTGTGCTTTTGCTAAGACTGTATGTCAGGGACGACATTGAGCCCAACCTTACAATATTTTGTCCGATTTTTCCCTATTGCGTAGTGCTTCTGTAGTTTTCCAAGCGTCAAGTATTGTGGCTCATGCCCAATTTTCCTAATAAGATTATATAGGCATCATAAAATGTCATATTGATTGTTGATTTTGTTTTTAAATATCTGCAGTGTGGTTTGAATATTAGCATTCAGAAACCGAAGCTGGTCTTAATATCCATCATGTTTATTCCTAGTGATGCAGATTGATGGGAAGAGTCTGCACTACATTTACCACACAAACAAAAAGCAGTGTTCTGCAAAAAACAGAAGCAGATGTGATAGACTGTGATGTATTACCAAGCTGAAAGTTATTGAAGCCTATGGCAGATGCATTAATAAAAGCAGAAAATTCACAAAAGAAACGTGTATTGATGATAATATAGAACACGTGCTATTATAATTTGATATAATTATGTGTTATTATAATTATCAATTGAGTTGTCTTGCTTCTCTAGTTGATCGTGCAAGGAAATAGACTGGCTTTTATATCCAGACTTGTCTTTCTTGTAGCTCAGCCTTAAATAACAGAAAAAATAAGCTTGTAAATTAAAGTCACTATCTTTCCTATTACCTTAGATCCAGAGTTGCCTCGTGGTATGGTTGTTGGCATTGATTTGCTGAACATACCGCCTCTGGATGGTGCTCACTTCCTGTCCAATTGCGATGTCACAGACCCTGCCACACATGCCAAGCTGTTGGAGCTTCTTCCCCACGGCAAGGCTCATGTCATCCTGAGCGACATGGCACCCAATGCCAGCGGTTTCAGAGAGATGGACCACGAGAGACTCATCACAATGTGTTTGTCTTTGATAGACTTGGCTGAGAAAATTTTACAGCCCCAGGGTTCTCTTCTTTGTAAATACTGGGACGGGATCCTTGCTTATAAACTGCAGGAAACGCTCTCAAGTGTGTTCAGTAGTGTTCGGACTTTAAAGCCAGATTCCAGCAGAAAAGACTCAGCTGAACGATATTTCCTTGCTAGAATGTACAGAAGGCCAATAAAGTGATGTTTAATTATGGAGTGTGTGCTCCGTTCAGTCTGATCATGACGAAGGGGCTTTCTTAGTGGCTGTCATCAAAAGATGGCACTGTTGAGGCATCAGTAAGGCTGACTGCTCCAGGCACAGAAGCAAACACATTAAACACTGTGATGCTGGCTTTTAAGCCCTGCAAACTTAACACAGCAGCAGTGAATCAGTAATATGTAAACCTATGCAAGAATCAGTTTGATATTCCTCAAGAGCCCAATGCAGTGTTTCTCTGAAGTTATTGTTTGCCCCAAGTGTTTGTTCTACACACTCAGACTGGTATTTGCTTTGTTACAGAAAGTCATCTACCAGTGGTGCTTATGCTAATAATTTGCACTGCCAGCCATGTAGAAATATGTAATAATTCTCTCACTGAGAGCTCACAGAGAGGGAAAACTAATACATAAGTCAAACACAGTATGACTAACTGGAAGTGGGATGCTACTCAAGTGTTATTGGGTTCTGACAGTGAAAACATGTCCATTTCCTGTGAAAATGTGATAAGCACAGTCATTTGAGTTTTTCTTTTTTTTTCCTTCATATTTTCACAGATCTCCTTTAAATCACTGAGGTGAACACTTTCATTTGTTTTTATTTTTTAGTACAACTGGTCATGAAATAAAAGCACATTTTGTAGTCGTATAGTGTCACAGTCTTGTCCTGACTTGAAGCGCCATTCACCAGAGCCAGATGCATATACGATATCTTTATCTCCTCTTCCCGTCTTAGTGCATTCGTTTTCATGTATGTACAAGCAACTATTATTTTTGGAGGGCATTTTATGCTTTTAGTCCAGTGACAGAAATAGATTGGGAATGACTTGCCACAAAGGTCTCCAGCTGGACACGTACTTGGGATGTTGCTTTACCCTTTGGCCAAAAGGGCTCTGTCATGTACAAATGAGTGAATAACAATGAAATGCAACCATGCGCAGAGGTTCAAAGGAGAAGGAGTTATTTCAGGCACCCCTGGTTCTAAAAGGAAAAATCTCCATTCATTTTATAAACAGAGATGCAATTCGCTGAATACTTCTACAGCTTGTATGTCTTTCATGGTTAAATAAATCAGTACAAAAGATTAACATCTGTGTTGGCAAACATTTGGCTCTTTAGTAAAAAGTTATAGGTCAAGCCAGACGATAGCTTGATCTCAAGTAAAAGAAGTATTTTTCTTTTGAATTCTGATTAATTTGTGGGTGGATTTGTAACAAGTCTACCATAAAAATAAAGTTCTTTAAATTTGCTTTTAAAGGTAATAGTAATCCTTAGTACTGCAGTAAAAGCAAATCCAGTTCAGCCTAAAGAGGCTCTCTTATGGTTTTGGGTAGAAATGTTTGGAAGTTAGTAATTTACAATAGTTGAGTAATGAGGTCAAAGATGCATAACATTTAGAGGATGTGTATGTTGCTTTTTAGATTCTAAATTTGTGCAAAAATGTTGAGCCACCTCATATTTCCAAATGTTTTGCTAGAAAAATCTCAAATGGGGCAATAATTTATTTTTTCTTGATTTTTTTATTTTTTTTTATTTTTCCTGGTGTGTCTGGTCAAGTTCTTTTCTACTTTGGCATACCTCAGTCTTTTCTCCCTATTTTCCTTTCTTAAGAAGGAATTCACATCAGTCACCCTTCCACCGAGACCATTTGCGATGAAGATTCAGTGAACAGTAGATGGATCAACTGAAGGACCAAGTGCAATCTGCTGTAGTTTGCTTTTTAGGTCTGACACTTCTTTTGTCCTCTACTTGTCCAGTTTACAATTTTTCTTTAAAGAACATAACACACACCCTGACAAGATGTGACATTTTTAGCTAATAGTTTTTTGGGAATCACCTTGTTTGGTCAGAAAATAGTATTTTTTTCAAACTGTTTTATCTTTGGCAAGAAATGGGAACCAATTATGTTTTGTTGACAGGTTGTTGGTACCCAAAGATACATTTTCAAATGGATTATTTGCTTACTGTTATGTGTATGCACAACACTGGTTCATCCACTGAGTTTGGTTTCTTTGGTGCTTAAATGATTTATAGGTCAGTGCTTTGGCTTAACAAACAAACAAAACGAGACAAAAGAAACCTGGTGAGGTGCAAAGACAGGACTGAGAATGAGTGAAGAAACCGGCCAATGTCCAAAGAAAGAAAACTAAAAGGCCTCAAAGACTTTCAGAAAGAAAGAAGAACTGATGCAGAAACAAAACTACTTCAATGTAAACACACAAAAAAAGAATGTCTTGGCTCAGGTCTGAATGTAATTTTACTGAATATGAATATTTTGTTAAATTTCATGTTTACCTTTTCCCCCCAAATGTGTTTAATGCTGAATGTATATCTGAATATATCTATGTCACAAATGGTAATTGAAAATATTTTATTCCTTATGAAAATACAATATAATAAATGACTCACAAGCTGTTCTTGTTTTGAAATCAGTTTAGTCCTAAATTGTTTTTTTTCCAAGTCTGATCCTGCCATAAAAAGAAAATTAAAATCCTAATCGAGCTCAAATTTGCATTTATGCACCAAAGAAAGAGATTGCTCACATGAATAAATTAATATGGCAGCTATCTGGCCCTTCTGTCTCAGGAGTGATGAGTAATACAGTGTGAACTGAAACATTCATGCCTCTTGGTAAAATTAACTGCATAGAAGGGAGACTGACCCCTAAAGATGATTGCTTAGAATGAACGGGAGCAGCCATGCCTGTTGATGAAGCTGATCGTGCAAGATGTGAACAGATGACCAATTTTACTTCTCATTACTTGTTGATTATTCAACCCTTTGCTATTTAGATTTAAATTATTTCAGAATTACTGTGGGATTTATGTAAATTCCATTGGACTCGAGTGTTTCGGCTCAGGATAAATGATGATTCATTCACAGGCTAATTCATTCTTCCCTGGACAGCTGCAGGTATCGTTGTAAATAATAGTAAATGAAGAGAGGAAAACAGAAAGCCACAAATTTTGATATTCAGATCTGTCTGCTGAGATGTGGTAATTACCTTTACAATCTGCCACGTAACACCAGTTTTAACTGCTTTGGTTTGTTATTGCTGGATAGGATTATATGAACTTTACTTTTCATAAAAAGTATTCTATCCTTAGCAGGTCTCAAAATCTGGAGCATTTAATCTCAGATGAACTCCAAAACACGACATATTATTTAACAAAAACAAAGCCAAAATGCAGAATGTGTGAAAAATTACAACTCTAAGTACATTCCAATGTCCTTTAGCAGCATCTATTGTAGATTTCTGGTGTGATTGGGATTATTATCCTGTTTACTTTAGTATACAGAGGAGTTCATGGTCAGTACAATGTGCCTAGTTCATATGGCTGCAAAACAAGCCTAAATCATCATCCCTTGACCACTGTGCTTGACAGGTGGCACAAAGTATTTTTTTTTTTTTTGCCTATACTTTGTGTTTGTGTTTGTGTTTGGTTTTTATCTAAATGTGATGCTGTGCATTAGGTCCATATATCTTTATGTTGGTCTCATCTGTCCAAAGGACATTGTTCAAGTAGTCTTGTGGTTTGTTTAGATGCAACTTTGCAAACCTTTGTCATGTTGCCATGTGCTTTTTAGATAAAAGTGGGTTTCTCCTGGCAAACAAGAAACACTTGCCAAGTCTTTCTAATTGTAATGTCATGGACTCTAACATTTAGCATGCTATCTGAGGCTTGTAGAGTCTTAGATGTAGCTCAAGGGTTTTTTGCAATTTCTTTATGAATTGCATGCTCTGACCTTGGGGTGCATTTGCTGGGGTGTCCACTCCTGGAAAGATAACCATCTGTCTGGAATGTTTTGCACCTGTGAATAATCTTTCTCACTGTAGAAGCAATAGGCTTCAAATTGTTTGGAAATGGCCTTATAACCCTTCCCAGATTGACAGGATGCAACAAGGGCTTCTTTCAGATCACTGCTGATGTATTTCCTCCTTGGTATTGTAATAATACACACCTGAATAGTCCAGACCAGCAAACTGGCAAAACGTCTGATTTACAGACACTTGCTCATGATCAATTTATCAACTTCATTTTATAATTACCACCTGGCTGCTACTAACCCTATTAATTCCCATGGAAGCAATAAGGGTCTACTAAGTTTTTTTTACATACTTCTTCTGTGTTTTGGTTTAGTTTTGATTAAATAATGAATCTGTATAATACATGTTTTATTTTTAATCTCAGGTTGTATTTAAGACCTACTAAAGACCAGATATTTCTTTTATTATGTCTTGATATGTAAACCTTATAATTTATGCTTTTTACCTTGACTGTAAGACAAGAAGTAAAAGTACTACTGACAAGTTGCTGAGACTTTGTTGAAAAGGCAGAAGAATATAATTAACAGCTATTCAGTGTCATCCTAAAAAGGAATTAATTTGAAATTTCTTACCTTTCTTACATTATAAATAAAAATGTGTTCACATGAATAATAAATACATTTAAAGCCTCTTCCTGTGTAATCTGACGTTATTTACTCTGGTGGCAAAAGAATGCAGAGGACTGCCAATTAGAAAAGCCCTCAAATGATTTGAAAGGAGAGTTGATCTCTTACCAAACAGATTTTTTTGGAAAAACGGTTTAAAAAAAAACCCTGAATCTTTCTGGAAAAAAGACCTCCTTTTTGAATTTTGCTCTGTCCCACTAATAAAAACAAACATTGCCTCTAATATTAACACAGTGGAACTCTCAAATTGGCAGGAAATTAAAGAAATGGAAATATCTTTTCTAACCATCGTGCCTTTCATTCCCTTGGCTGACCTGAGTTGCCAAAATGAATTGCTCGTCTGACAACATTCATCATTCCCAGTGCCTGTCCCTGAATGTTAGCAGACTGAGCCAAGCAGGCATTCACTGACGTAAAGTAATGAATACTATTATGATGATAATTTCATACCATCTTCACAGGGGGGAAAAAAAGAATCTGAAATCTTAGGGCTGTATGAAGACCGCAACTCTTTTTTTTACTGGAAACTCTTTTAGTTCAT